GTGGTCTGTGTGGGTCCCTAATGCCCCAGTATAGTGATAGGGATGCTATACTTTAAAAAGGGCACCTTTTTTTCTGATGAGATGTTAAACAGACGTCCTGACTCTCCGTGGTCATTACAAATCCCAGGGTGTTTCTTAAAAAGAGCAGGGGTGTTACCCCAGTGTCCTGGCCTAATTTCTGCCTGGCCTTTACCAATCATGGCCTCCTGATAATCCCAATTTATGAACTGGAGCACTCTGTTCTCCTCCCCACTGATAGCTGGCCTGGGGTGTGGTGAACGTACTGGTGCACACTGGCTGCCGTCACATCATTGATCATCTATTACCCGTAAAGTGCATTGAGGGGAAAAGCACTATACAGATGTTATTATTATCTGTTCACCCGGTTTTCTCTTTTCAGTCTTTGAGAACTAACTGCATTATTTGTAATTATGGGCTTTACTTTGACATTGTGTTCAATACAGGGCAGTTTCCCAAGTGGAGTATTAACACGGAGGATTAGCACTTAGTTGAATACCCTTGGTTTAAGGGTTACATAAAATTAATGGCACTTATACTGGGCCTGCTCATGTCTCAGCTCTTTCATAAGTTTCAAAGACACTGCCGACACTCAAGAGGACTAAATGTGACAAACCAAGCAGCAAGAATTGTCTCCTGTTAGAACTTATACCTAAATATTCGCTACCTCATAAACCTTAATTCATCCATTTCTCAGCTTTAAACTCCAAATATTAAATATTACACCTTTTCAAAGTATATGCGCAATAATGTATTATTCAACAAACCTTATATGGTTTTTTAACGGAGAAGTGTTGAAAGATGTATTTTAAATAAATATGGGCGTTATTTAACAGCTGAAGAAAGTTACTTGTTTGCTTGGATCTGAAGGAGATCGGTAACAAATTCGTTGGTGTTACAGAAAGATTTGACTAATTTCTAATTAAACACAAAATAAGCAAATAAGCACAGGTTCTGTAGCGGACTTTTCACTCTAGGGATGTTCCAATGTGATCTGTATGCAGATTTAACAAGCAAATTAAATTCGGCAAAACCGTCTCGAAACCCTCCGACTGGATTAAAAAGATGTATTCGCAGGCCCGCTCTTTTACAATGTAATAAAGGCGCTTCTCCTTACCGCTTACTGGTAGGTTTGTTGCCTATTGAATTACAATACATGGAAATGTCGTCTATTTTCATAAATTGGAGGTGTTACATGTTACTGTGCACTTTGGACCTGTATTGTGGGTTGAAATTCACTCATCCATGACTATTCTTTCTTTTTAAACCCGAAATATCAAAGGTTCCCCTTTAGCTGGTAATGGATGTAAGTGAAGTCACGCAGGTTAAAAAGAAGACGTGTTAAAAATGTCATGATCTATCCCTCTTGCTGCAGTTGAGACTCCTCGACTCCCGACCCCCACGGGCCCTGAAGGTGGACCGGGTCTGGCTCGGGTAGCGCAACCCTCGGGTCTCGTCCCATGGGTGGGTCGCGGAGTCACTCAAGATTGTCTTCTGCCACTATACAACTAAGATCCTGGGATGTGGGATCTAGAGGGGTAGGTATCTGTAGCGGAGGGAAATAATGTCTGGTCTGTCACACTCAACAAGCAGTCGCTGAGATTTCCAGCAGGGTCTACAAATGGACGGACCGGCGGGCGGAGTTCAGCCATCGGGTCACAGTAATCACGGGCTCTCCACCTTACTGAGCTTTTCAGTGCCTGTCGTGACTCCCCTCACTTGCAAAATAAATTCACCAAGGGGACCCGCAGCTAGAAAAAGCGGTGGTGATTACATTTTCAGGAATTTCTTAATAGAAAGCGGTTTTGGAAAGTTAGGGGCTGCAGAATGTTTCTTCCGGAGCTCAGCGAAGGCGACTCGAGAACTTTCCACGGGTTGTTTACAGTGGCAGCGGTCTCCTTATTGTTTGAGGGCGTTTATGAGGAAGCTGCCCTGAAAGACGGTGTCCTTCCCAGAAAAAAAAAACAAAGCAATATTAATTTGAAGTAGCTCGCAGTCTGTCCCCTTCTCAGATGAAAAAAGGAGAGGACTTCCCCTTGTGGAAACATCCGCGCTGGACTCCGACACACTCTTGCCTGACGAGAAATCCAGACCAGCAGAAACATTATAAATCACACGGCAGATTGTGTACATTGTGAAGTTTATTTACAGAGATATGGAGATAAAACACTCGTTTCGTAGCAAATATTAGACTTCCCTTTGTCACAAAGAGTCACGATCGCCCTGACTTTTACGTCTCCCTTCCGAAGAATCATTACTTTGCTTTGTGATGATAAACAGGGTGTTTGTTTCATTTTGGGTATCATTTAAACAGGTTCTCCTTTAATGTTTAAATTTCGAAGCGACTTCACATGTTTAAGATTTATATAAGTAGATGATTTTACTTCAAGTAGGTAGCTGTGTCAGCACGTATAGGGTGCAGAGA